AAGGTTTTTGTGTTAGAAATTGTGAGCATATTTTCTCCAAGCATATATAGAACATGGGTTCGATGAAACAACAGTTTTCTCTTAGGCTTTTCAAGGCAGCAAAAGATAGCAAAAACCTAATTTGGATGAAGTTTTCAAACTCTTATTCTTAAGTAAAGAAAATTATTCTCAGTTCTGCAACTTCTGTTTCATTCCAGACGAAATTTTTTTCATCTTTATCATCATGAATTAATGTCTTGTTCTGCAGAAATGGTACATTTAGCCAGTTTTGAAACTATGTCCTTGTATGCCAATTTGCAGGACATGCCCATTAGGAAAAACGCAGGTGTAATGCAATGCTGCAACCATTTAATTTGTTCTACTTGAAACACATCTGCCACCCTGTTCAAATGATCTGCTTCTTTCCTGAGGTATTTTTATTCCATTCTTTTGGACGCTTTCTGTAGCTTCTTGTGATGTTTCATTTCTTTTTTGCACCCAAGGACATTTTACTTACGTTTTCTTATTTAAGTGTAAGCAGACTTATTCGTCATTAATTATTTTTATATTTCCTCTGAGTCCCATCGATTATTTAGCAAGTAGTGACAATAAATAGGTATTGATTCATAATAGCTTGGTTTTAAATTGAGCAGAAGGGGATATAACGGTTTACTGGAGACCCATACAAATGAGGTCCTTGCTTGAAGACAAAGCAGGGTGTTTGTGCTCGCACCGCGACGTGCGACGTGAATGAACGCTGCTGAAGCGAGCCAGCCCCGTTCGTGCCAGATGAGGGAGGCAGGTAACAGAGGAGCTTTGGGAAGAGAGAGCCTCTCAGGGTTGTAGCGGGGAGTATTATCAACGTGTATTAGGACCCTAAGGTCCTAATACCTTAGGGTCCCTGATTCTACCTAATCCCTTAGCTAGAAAGGGAAGAGGCAGCTTGAATTGAAGGGGGGATTGATGCCAGCGCCTTGGAGACCTGGGTCACTGCCGTGCTGGGGGCACAGTGCCCACGGTCTCTGCATCTCTTGTGGGATCCCAAGACCTGAAGAGCCTTAAGATAAACCTGCCCCAGTGAGGTGAGCGTGCCAAAGACACCGAAGACTCCCCAGCTCTACGGCTAAGTTTTATTAAAATGTAAAACTAGAATTTATTTTGCTGTAGTTTGTTTTACTACGGAAAACTCAAGTATGAAGTTGAGTCAGATTGAGTGGAAAAAGGGTTATTGGTTTTTCTATTCCAGCAATTGCAGGGCTGAACCAAATGTGGAAATAGAAATCCTTGCAAGAATTGTAAGGCAAAATAGAAACAAGGTGTTTGGTGAATCCACAGGGTGCTTTCATTGGGAGACACTGTTTATGATTTGGTTTGTAGCTCGAACATCAAAGTGCGTGCGTGCGGTGGGGGAAGGCTGTGTTGTTTGCGATCTCCGACCATAACGCAGTTAATATCCTTTTTCCTCATGTTCAGCTTCATCAGATCCCCGCGGTACCAAGCACTACAAAACACGGATATTGCTTTTCTCCGAACACCTCCAGTGCCTTCCCGTGAGGAAGATTAGTTTAATTGTAGATAAGGATTGAGTAGCACAAATAATAGCAGTAGTGCACGTCTCTTCCTGTGGAAGAGGCAGCAGTCACACACCCCACTCCCCCTTTCCCATAAAAGCTTGCCCAAAAACATAATTTTTTTTTAAAATAAAATCTCTTTTCTGAAAGCAAAGATGTTTTCAGCTCAGTCCTGCGTAGCACACGTCGCACAGATAGCTTTCGAAGGCAGGCAGGTGTTCTTGTTCTTCCAGCGTTGGTCCATCCAAATGACAAATACTCTGCAGCAAAACTCACGTCACGACCCTGTTCGTGCCCGACCAGGTCCGGAGGTTTGCACTCCTCGGTGTCTGTTTTGTTTGGCCCTTTTGCGGTGAATATAGATAGACACAGAGCAATGAAGCCGCCGCAAGGTGCGACTTAATGGAAGCACAGGATTAGGCACCAAGGTGTTTTCGGTAGTACAAGTTAAATTAAACAGTGACTGCATGAGTTGTACTTAGAGGAAAAATTGCCATTTGAAAAAGTAAAATATTAAATAACAACTGTAATACTGACCTTTTGATACTTCTCTTCCCCTAAACAGAGTCAAATGAAACTCTGTGATCCATCTCCTTGATTGCAGAACAGATGATAAATTACCTCTGTTTCTTGGAGAAAAAAACAAAAATCTTTTATAAAATTCTTAAAGGACTCAAGCCTCCCCAGATACCTTACTGGACATACTGTAGCCCGGCAGGTGTCCTGAGAGTTGGAGAGCAGGGGAAGCCTCCCGTCCGTCACGTCTGTCCTTCGCAGCCCCCGTGCTCCCCTGTGCCGCGAGCTCAGCTTTTTCCTGGATTTAACCCGGGTTTGATTTGTCTTCACTTCTCTGCCATCCCCTGAATTGTTATAATTTAAGTTCTGTATATGGGTTACGGTTGAAGGTTTTATTTGAATACTTCTGTTTGCTGAAGTTTAGAATGTCGTACTTCCCTAATGCCTGACTAAGTGCCACGTAATTTCTTGGCACCAATTGGGCACATTGGGTTTCTGAGGAGCTTTTGCTGATCAGGAGCTGATGAAGCATCAGTTGCCCCCAGCCACTGGATTGGGCTAAAGGGCTTCCCAGGAGCGCCTGCCTTGGCTTCAGCCTCTAGCAGTAATTTGTAGAGTATCCTGTATTTTAGTTAATTATCTAGAATTACATCATATCCTACAATTGCATAATGATACATAATTTGTTAAAGATGTAAGCGGTAAAGATTTGGAAAGATGGATAAGAGTGGTTATCCAAGAGAAGTTAATTTTTTTTTAGTAGTAATGAATAGTTTTACTGTTGTTGTGTACTGAATTTCTTTAAAAATTGGTATCTTGTGCTTTAGGGCGTGATTTCCTAGCAGAATATGCTGACATCCTTGGAGCTTCACCTCTATGATAATTTCAGAATGAGATCCCATAAATAATGGAAAGCAGAAGGTGATGGAAATGCAGCATGGATTTGAGATATAAATCTGGGAGTGTCTTTCAAACTATTTCAGCTGAGTGCTGGCACTTACTAACGCTTTGCCTACCACTGTTTCTTTGGACGATAGCTCTTGTCTCAAATTAGATTAAATTAGACTACGGAGAATATTTGACTTGCTTTTTGGTTTTTGGCTATCTTAATAACTCAAGTTGGCCAAGCACCTTAAGACTGGCCTTAATGTTTCTTTCTGTGATGCACGGTTCCTTCCCGAGCTGTCCCCTTCCTGGAGCATGTCAGTATTGAAAAGGCTGTTGCAGGTCACTGGTTCAATATTATTTTAAACTCTGAAAGTCAGATACACACCTGCGAAAGTCGGCTTGATAAGAGGGTGGAAAATGGAAATGGTATTTTCCTGTTATGCTTTCTTCATATAGAAAGTGAAGAAGTTGGATATATGAAGTCTTCCTTTCTTTGGCGCTAAAATTGTATGTCTGACGTTTCTTCTCAGCGTGATGGATTTCTTTCCAAGAAACTGTGGGGAAGGCGCAGTGCCGAGCTGGCTGCCTGCGGTCCCGGGAGCGGTGTGTGCTCCGGTGGGATTTCCAGCAGCGCTCGCCTCTGCTGCCCTTGGTGGGTGGTGAAATCGCCACCGCTCCTGGCCAGAGCGGGCGCGGGGCGAGCGTCTTACCCCACATCGCATGGATGGGTTGGAGAGTGAATGCTGCGTCTCAAAAGCTTCAAGAATACTTTAAAACTTGCAGGTTCCTTATTCATGCACTTACGACGTTGATTTTGAAATCGCCTCTGTCTTGGACTTAATCTGGCAGCGGTGCTGATGTGCTCAGGTCGTGAGATGTCCGATGCGCGTTCGTGTCCGAGGCACAGTCAGTGCTCATCTCCTTCGGTCTCCTGTGTCTGCGACGTGCAGCCGTGTCTGTGTCCTCCCACTTGTATTTCTTCTTTCGTGGGTGCATACCTCTATCATCAAGAGATAAATAAATTGCTTGACTAGCTATCATAAGTCTTGAAAGCACTGTATATTCTTTTAATTTGAATAAGAATACACTGTACAGGGGGGATTTCTAACTCATTTCCCCTCTCCTTGATTATTATTCTATTTTTTTCTCTTCGTGACCTGTATTTCTGATTTGTGGCCCACGCACCACTCCTGATGGCCAGCGGGATGCTGCTGGCTCAGGTCTCTGATGTATAGGCTTGCGGTCGGAACGGTGCTGCCAGACAAGGTGACAATTTAACTGCGACATGATGTGACATCTTCTCCCTTTAGGAGAACTGTGCCATCAGCGGTAGTGCCTGCCTGCCCGTGGTAGGGGTGGTGGAGCTGGTGCAGGAGATGGGTCCTGTCCACCAGCTGCTCTCCGCAGAAACCTGCCACCTTCATCCCCCTTCCCTGCCTGATTGCAGGAGACATTTAATTTTATAATAGCATTAATGAGGATGATAATCCTTGTTATCCTGCTGTGAGTTGTGCCGTGGGCTGAGCCCGAGGTCTGCGGGAACGTGTGGGGCGTGAGAGGGAGGGAGCAGTGGGGTCCTCAGGATGGAGAATGGGTCCTTTCTGGTGAAATCACCCAAGGGGGATCTAGATTACATCAGTAAAACGGCTGTGCCTCGTCTGAGTTATTTCTTTCAGAAGGGAGTGCTGGAAAACACCAGCAAGATGCTTTGGAAAAAATGGTTTGTAAAAATGTAAAAAGATTTCCTTATTATTTTCGAATATGAAGAAATCACAGGGTTCAGTAGTCCTGCTTTTCCAGATAAGTTATATGAAAAGAAAAAAATGTAATTTTCTAAACATTTTGATTTGCTAAATTAATTATTTAATGCTTGTAAAGATCTACAGTGTAGCAGCTGCGCATGTGTTCACATATTGCTGTCCCATAATTCCAGCAAATGGATATTGATAAAAAGGAAATCGTGACAACTGGAGAAAGATCTGTGATTTATGCTTTTCAGCTTTACAGAAACTGTGCTTTGATCATCTATTCTCTTAACAATTCCAGGTGTCGTTAAGGTGGATTATGGCGATGTATCCGTCAGAAAAGCACTAAGAGAAAATCTGAAGTGTAAACCCTTCTCGTGGTACTTGGAAAACATCTATCCCGACTCCCAGATTCCGCGGCGCTATTACTCGCTTGGTGAGGTACGGACCGTTGCCTTTGGCTGAATTAACGCAATAAGTACACTGTGCAAATGGGGGCATCGCTAAGAAGATGAAGTGGCTTTGGAGAAAGGGATAAAGCACTTGGCTGCCTTCTCTGTGCCTTATTTATCCTTCATTTTGAGCAGGTTATATTTTCTCTAAATCTTTCATAAGGGAGCACTGCTATTCTGAATGTATATGTTCACCATTAAAAATTTATCTTTTAAATTGAGTAGCATATGGGAAAAGCAAGGTTTGTGACTAACCTTTTTCAATTATTACATAACATGCAGAGCTGAAGGAAACTTTCCGTCATCACTTACCCCTTACATGTAGAGCAGAAAAACCTTTTTTTGCTTTTTTATTTTCAAGAAATGTGTTTTTTCATTGATGCTGTGTTTTCCAGCAGGGCTGCCTGGAGCTGAGTATCGCAGCCATTCCTAATAATCTGATTATTCCAGCACCACCAAGAACTGAAGCCTCTTTAAAATTCAGATAATTCACTGTTAAAAATATTCCATTGAGTTGTACCTACGCTGACTTTTAAAAGCTCTTGAATGGTTTGATTTAAAGATAGCTACGGATAGAATAGCAATCAAATGAGCAAATGGCTTTTTTACATCCAGGAAAGTAATTTACTATTGAAACTTGCAATTGTAGTGAAAAATAAAAGCCACAGTAGGGTTTCCAGTTTAACTATGACAAAATAAAGTGAAACATGGTTTTACAGCAAGGAAAGAACTCATCTAACAAGTGTCAAATAATAAGGTTTTGTACGATATTGTCAGACTGGAAAATGAAAGTATGAGAAAGTAATAAAATAGTTATTAAAACACCTTATTTTTACCAACACGGCCTTAGTTTCTATGGAAACAGCAATTCAGGCAGGCTGTACGAATTAAAACTCCGACTCGCCTATTACGGCTGCTGACTGCCAGTTGAGCAGTAAAGTGGGTTTTTAGACCTACAGCTCAGGTACCAGCAGCAGCAGTAATGGACAATTTTTAAAACATCAGAAGTGTGTTTCTCAGTCATTTCCCTCTCTTCCAGCAGGTGTTTAGTCTCAGGTAAGACAAACGGCCTGGCTTGGCGGTGCAGCCGGGATCGTTAGCCCACACGTGGTCCGTGGTGCGCCCAGCTGCGCAGGGGGATGCGCTGGGCGCTGAGGTGGCCGCTCCGGAGGTGACCGTGCTGCCCCTCTGCCCGGGTCAGAGGGAAGACGGTGCTCAGCAGCCCGAAGGTGGGAGCTGTGGGTTTGCTGGCTGCTAACAGTCAGGTTTGGTAATAAATCCGAGAAAATTATTCTCTAGTACAGTGCAATCTAAATGGAATGAGTGTTCAACGTTGGGCCGCAAATTATATTGCGCACGTGCATGTTTTGTTCTTTTGTAGTGTAAACAGTGATAAAGAGAGTGAATAATTTTGAGAGATTTGGGATAGTCATCTGTAATTTCTTTCTGACCTCCTGCAAGATAGTGCCGGTGTGACTTGAAGTCGGACAATGTTCAGGCATGGTTCGCTTGCACCATCCACCATGTTAGAAATAATAATCAGTATTGTATTACATTTTAATTTGGATTTTATTTGGCTATTGAACAGCTAATTTATATACGTCTGTTGCTTTTGTAAATGAAGTGTGCAATTTTTAAATGAAATTTTGAAAATGTGGAACTAAAGTTTGTAAGTAGTTTACAAAGTTTATTCATTGGACGCTTAATAGGCAGATCCTGAAGATTGCCAAGGCTTTGTTTGCAACTAAATTTTCCATTCACTTAGAACATAACTTATATACAGTGACTGTATTAGAATTTAATTTCCTAGATGGATGAAAATATGCCTCAGAATGGGCATTAAATGTGCAAAATGCGGTGAATACTGAGTACCCTTTCTTACATTTTAATCGCATAACATTGAAAGTGAATACAAAATAAATGCAAGACAAGAATTATTTTATAAACCCAAGACATAATAATGGTAGGTGAGTTTTCAAGTCACTTTCCATTTCAGTCCTTTGTTTTAATGAATCAAGGGATTGCAAAAACAAAATTTACCTTTCTCGTGGGGATACTTGAAACTCTATTTCTGCAAAAAGGTGATTTAAGAAAAAAGGCTGGGATTACCACTGGAGCTCGGATTATCATGTGAGCTGTTCATTAGGGTACGGTTTTGGGACTGCAGCGGCTTTGGCGGTCTGCAGAGCGGCACGTGCTGGGGAGGAGGAGAGCAGGGCGAGGAGCAGGGGTTGTCCATGAGCTGGCTCATCCCCACCGCCGCTGCGGCGTTCCTGCCGCCGGCGATGCTGCGGCTGGGCGCGGGCACGTCCAGCGGGTCACACCAGAAAGCCACGTACTGCCGTAGCCATACAAAGCTGTTTACTTTCACTGGGCTCTGAAGAAGGGCCATTTGTTTAAAAGCAGCTGGAGAGGGGTGGAAACCAGCGGTCTGGTTATCAGCTGGCACCGGGGGTCTGGACCAGGAGCCGGGAGCCTTTCTCCCGACTTTGGCAGCTCTTGGAGGATTAAGTAATTAAGAGCGTGAGCCTCTGAGAGATTGCTCACCAGTACAAGGTGGTGCCGTTTCTTTCTGTGTGATTAGCAACGTTAGAGCGGATTAAGAAGCGACCAGGTGAGCTTTGCTGAGCCACTCTTCCCCAGTGTCGTTAATCAGGTTGCACTGTCTCATTTACTTCCATCGCTGGGTTAAGCCCGGGCTGGTGGCGTTGGTTTGCTATTGCGTGCCGTGCCCGTTGAGCCTCTGAAGGTGGCACGGGGAATTGCAACTGACTTGGAGTTGTACTGAGCACCACTGAAGTATTTCAAAATACAGGGTTTCACACCCGTTTTACCAAAGGAATGAGGGACCCGGAGACGCGTTTTTGCTTTGCACACGTGAGTAAGAAAATCACCCCGTGCTGTTGAGAGCAAGGAGGAGGAGGGGGAGCTGTGTTTGTACAGCTGTGCTAACAGGTATATGAGGAGGGTTAAGAAAAAAGGTATTTCGTGCAGATGCTGGGGTTTGCACAGGCTGAACACACACACCGTCGTGGAGACCACGAGGCGGGAGAGCTTCGGGGGGACCGTGGCATCTCCTGCTTCTCCTCTTGTACAAAGCTGGAGTTGGCTGATTGCTTTTATTCTCAGCCATTTTCCTGCAGAAACGTGTATTCTAAAAATACGTTTAGGGGAGCAATGCTCTGGTACTTTATCCTGCTGCTCCTTCTTGCTCTGACGGTCTTTTGCTGCAATTGCATGAGCTGCGCGTTGCTGGAAGGAGCCCCTCATGGTGCGTGTTGTATGCAGACGGCGTGCTCCTAAAGCTGCCTTACGCACCAGTTACGTACAAATGGTTTGTTTAAGCGGAGATGTTCACTAAGCGTGTTTGTTCTTCTCTGAGGACGGATGGATTCCGAGGGGAAAGTTTTCTTTAAAAGCTTGAAAAAAGCATGTGTTCAGTCACAAAGCAATCCAGCAGGCTCTTCTCTGGCAGAGCTGGCCGTCAGACGCTGTTCAGACTCAGGTTTTGCCTCTTGGAGGAGAGTCAGCCCTGCTGGAAGAAAATAAAAGTGCATATCTTGGGCAAGCCATTAGTTTTGCATTGTTTAGAAGTAAAACCATATTGTATTTGCTAAACAACACAACGCAGGGCATCGAATGAGGTTCTCCTTGAATGCTGTTCATACTTACACTTAATACATAATTTAAAATCTCATTATACTCTTCGTTATTATTTTAATTTTCTTTTGGGAGTGTGACATATGTACAAATTGCAAGTTGAAGTAAGTTCGTATAGTTGAATGCACAGATAATGTACTTTCTCCTACAGTGACATAATTTTTTCTGCACCAATATGACATTTACAGGCCTTTTTTTTCAAGGAACATTTACTCTCTTTCTTTCTTCAGATCAGGAACGTTGAAACCAACCAGTGTTTAGACAACATGGGCCGCAAGGAAAACGAAAAAGTGGGCATTTTCAACTGCCACGGCATGGGAGGAAATCAGGTAAAACTAA